CAGGAGTGCACTTCATGACCGCATAGGAGTTGTTGTTTGGGATTTATTTATTTTCAACGTCTCCATGCACTAGAAGGCAGTTAGTCATACCTGTAAAACCCAGAAGGCCTTAGATAAGTCACAGAAGCCTTTCCAGAAAAGTTGAGGTGATCAGACCTCTAAGTGACCTCCCTTTGTATATGTGATTATTACACAGTATCTCAAATATATTTAGTTTTGAGGAACTACAGTGGTTATCTATAGAGTGACTTTACCCAAGTAGGTCATCAGTGATGTGATGTGAGCCATTTGGATGATTATGCAACATAATAGTTTTTGGTTTTTTTTTTTTTGTAGTACTATACTGGGGATTGAACCCAGAGCTTCCGGTGTGCTACACATGCACTCTATCACTGAGTACTCCTCCGGTCCTTTTAAAATCTTATTTTGAAACAGGACCTCACTAAGTTTCCTGGCCTGGCCCCGAACTTGCCATCCTTTTGCCTCAGCCTCCGGAGTAGCTGGGATTACATGTGTGCCTCTCGGAGAGAATGTTGAAAGGTACTAGTAGGTGCTCAGTAAGTGATTTTTTTAGTGATGGCAAATTGACTGAGGGTAATAATGAAAATTAAAGAAATGTCACTGAACATATGTTTAGCCAAAAGTACAGAAAAGTTCCAAACTAGGCTGTATTAAAAATATTTACTATACATCATTCAAAATGTGAACAGTTCATGATAAAATGATAAAAATACAGTATTTTAAAATGCAATAAGGTGTTTCACTTATTTCACTGCTATTATTGTTTCTAGGGGCTTTGGAGAGAGGACGTAGTGGCTTAAATGACAGTTTTGACTTTAGCTTCTGAGGTCCAGCCTCAACAGTGGTGGGTCCCTGGTGTCAAGTCAAAGCTGTGTAGGCTGATGGCTGGTGTCAGGTGCCCGCTAATGGAAGCCAACAAGGCACAGCTGCAGGATAGGGCAGTCAGAGCTCACTCCCTCACTAGTTAAGTCCTACATGATATAGAAGGGCAGACCCCTCAGTATGTTTTCATGCACTTGTTCATGGTTGATCTCTCTTAAGTACAGGACAGGGCACAAGGTAGATTCTAAGTAAATTTGTTGAGTGATTAAGTACAGTTTATCCCCATCTGGTTCATTGTGTCTGCTATAATTTCCTTAGTAAGGATAAAAGTGCTACTGCTTGCCTTGGTTCCCAAATTTATCTAAACTATTTTTGCCTATTTTTTTTCCAAATCTTAATTGTTTAGCATTCTGAACTTACAGGCCAGTGATAGTTTGCATAGTTGTTTCAAATCAAGCGCTGTGTTTGTATCTTACATGGACTCCAAGTTATTCACTGCTAACGTCTAAATCGAGAGTGCAAAGGACAATTGTTTAGTGCTTTTTTTAAGTCCCTGACCAAGATCAGTAGGGAAATCCCATTAGCTCCATTCATCGCATCTCTCATAAATCTAAAAGGAAAGCATGTATCCAAAGCCTTATTCTTTAATAGTTCTTATTTGTAAAACCTTGACAGGGCTTTATTCTAAATTGCCTCCAAATTACGGAAAGAATACTGAGAAATATGAGGGGCGGTGAGTCGTGATGGCTTCAGTCATGGAGTAAATAAGGAGAGCAGTAAAAGGGGACTAATTTGAAAGCAAACAGTACGATGGGCCCGTACGAGAGGCAAAAGGAACACAACTGTGGAATGCTTAAGCTGCCATCTGGCTCAATCCTCTTTCAGTGGGCAAGCTGAAGGGCCTCTTATTCAGCCTCCTAAAACTTATTCAAAAGGAGCAGATTTGAATATTAATATTTCCATATAGTAAAAAAGAAAGAGCGAAAAGCTTTGTAACCAGAAAGGAATGTTTAACAAAATAATGGGTAATCCTCTGGCTACACATGAAGGCGTGGGGAACGACCTGTGGGTGGGAGGTCAGCTGCGGGTGCCGAGTGGCCAAGGCCACGGGCAGCTTTCAGCCTTCACCTCATGACTTCCTTGTGGTTACAGTAACTTATTAAAGTTGTCATTGTGGCTTGAAATTTAGGCAAGAGGTATAAAATTAAGGAACTCATTAAGCAAAAATGAATGAAGTGATTTCTAGTTCATCAAAAACAAACAATAAGGTTGATCTGCCAGGTAGGATAATTGAGGAAGGGGACACCATAGAAACGATAAAGTGTTAATTGTAATTGTGCTTTTGTGAAATATGAGCCTATTTCATCATTTTATAACAGGCCCCTGACAACTGCTATTTTGTGTATTAAGCCCTGGATTTTTAAACTATAAAGGTTTTTGTTTTCCTGAAGTGTGTTGGAAAAGTTGAATAAATGTTAAGTCCACTATCTTCAGCAGAGATGCATTTAAAAGGGTGTTTTAGCATTCCCTGTGGTTTAAAAGACAAACCAAGTCCTGCCGGCTTTGTGTTGTGCTTCCCTTCCAGGCTGCAGTGCCTTCTGTCTGCTTTAGGGTGTGGCATCTGCCACTGGGGAGGAGAAACTGGCATGTGTTGCTCCTTTATAGCAGACTGATTTCATTGTGCTGGGGCCTCTGTTTTATTGCCTCTTGCTTCTAGTCTTCTAGTTCACTTGCTGAAGCAAATGGAATTAAAAGAGATTTCACCAACATACTTGATTCCTTTTTTTTTTCCCTTTAGTTTCACAATTTTCTGACATGAAAAAAATATTTCTAAGGAAAAGGCCAGAGCTGAACTTAGTGACTCGTTTTCCCCTTTAGGCTTAGTTGTGAAAATAAGTCACAACATATGGATACACTTGTCTGAACTGACTTTGACATATTTTATCAATTTGATAAAAATGCACTTTTACAATTATATGTATAGTTCAGTTTGACTATAAATTCCAAAGGCATAAATGTGTAATTGATTTTTAGAACATATGTATAAACACACACAAACCAGACATATTTATATTTGCATATGAAAAACTAAAAATTCAACTTATGTGGTGTAATGCATACAATTATTATATATTTGAATATATAAAGAGAGACAATCCAGAAAAAAAATGTCAAAAAGGCACACTAACAAAGATGTAATATTCTCTTGGCAAAAACTGATGATTTGGCATGAATTCATCTTAGGGCTCTGTTATTCTCCCTTACAACATGGTATAGTCCGTTTTCCACTTGTTTGCATAGAATTGCAATTTGTAGTTTCTACCCTCCATAATGACCCTTGTGTGTGCACCTGATTCCCCGTGTCCCCCCCATTAGTCACTACTTTTTTCCATCTACAGTTTTCTATTTAGTCATGTAACATAGTTATGCTTGTCTAGCAAACAAATAGCCACTGTAGTTGAAGTAAACTAAAATAGTTTTTATGAAATGCTAAAGAATGAAATTGTTTTGTTAAAGTACACTGTATGCAAATCTTACTTCTTATTTCTGCTAGTGTGACCTCTGGGAAGCTCTGGTTTCAAATGCTTTCTTTCAACGACAACGCTGGTACAGCTGAGCCACTGCTAAGGTGAAGAAGTCTTGCTATTCAGAACGTTACTACATGATAAATTCAGAAAAACGTTTAAAACATTACATTGATGAAACAGTAGATAGGATTTTTTAAAAGAGAATTTGTATGGAGTACTTCTGCTTTAGGTCCAGAATGTTTTATATTACTGTTGATTTTATGTTTATTAAATACAACGTCTATTCGGTTTTGTTTCCCATTAGAAATGAACTCATATCAAGAGGGTTAATTGCACACATTAACCTCTGAAAAATGATGAAGGGTGTCGTATAGATTTATGAAGACCGGAAATAAACCTAAGCTCTCACTACTATGGCACCAACAGTTGAACGTGCATGTGAAAGTTGTTTGGAGCATGACACACCACTGTACACATGCATCCAAATGTAAGAAAAATGCTCCACTGGGAGTGCTTCGAGTTTTCATATGTATTTAAGGAGTCTTCAAGTTATATAAGCATTACCTTTGGGGCTGGAGTATTCAATCCTAAACATTTATCGAGTACCTGCTGTGTACCAGGCTCAGCGATCTTGGAATGAGGCTAGCCTTCCCTGAAAGTGCTCCCTAGTCCTGCAGCTGGAAGAAGTTGTGGGAACGCCACTGACAGCCCGAAACCCAGGCCGAGAGGCCAGGGTTTTATTACGTAACTCCTGGGCGAGACCGAGCTCTTGCAGAGCCTGCCGAAATGCGGTCTGTCTCCGCCGGCTCCTCGCAACCAACAGACAACTTTGCTCCGTCTTTTGTCTGCTCGTCAGCAGCCCCTCTCCGCCTCTGTATCGCTGCTTTTACCCGCGCACACCCACGGGCGAGGGCCGGCTGGCCGGGAGCCCGGGCGCGAGGGGACAGAGCCACCCGGCTGCCCGAGCCCCCGAGCCGCGAGCCCCAGCCGGGCTCGGGCCCGCGAGGCTGCGCGGAGCGAGCGGGCGGGCGGGCGGCCGGCGGCGCCCAGGGCCGAGTCCAGTCCGCGTTTTGCGAGTGCGCGGGAGCAATCAGAGAGAAGTAGATAATAGTTGCTCGGGCTCGCTCGGCTCCCTCATGCCATGCTGGGCCCGATAGGCTCGGCCGGCCGTGTATTTACCCATATCCGGGTGAGGGAGGAAAAGAGAAAAAGTTTCATTTAAACCCGACTAAAAACTTTCACCGTGAAAGCACCCCGCGCGAGCAGGCCCAGACCGTAAGGCGGGCCCCGGCGCGGCTCCCGCGGGCCTGCGCGGGGGAGGGGGTCGGCGCGTCCCGGCGGGCCGCGTGGATGCGCGCAGGAGGGGCCGCGGACTGAAAAAGTGGGGGCATTGTCTCCCCCCGCCCCCCGCCCGGCCGCGCCACGCCGCGGCGATCATGGCCGCGCGGGCAGCAGCGGCGGCGGCGGCGGCGCGGGCGCGAGCGGGCAGTGGCGAGCGGCGGGCGCCCCCGGGCCGCGGCCGGCGCCCGGGGCCCGGGACCTGGAGGCGGGGGCGCGCGGCGCGGCGGCGGCACCGGGACCCATGCTGGGGGGCGGCGACGGCGGCGGTCTGAATAATGTGCACCACCACCACCACCACCACCACCACCACCACCACCCCCTGCTCCCCCGTCACGAACTGAACATGGCCCATAGCGCGAGCGCCGCGGCCGCCGCCAGCTCCAACAGCGCCAAGAGCGGCGGCTCCGAGGCGGCTCTCAAGGAGGGTGCAAGCGCCGCGGCGCTGTCCTCCTCCTCCTCCTCCTCCTCCTCCGCGGCGGCCTCTTCCTCCTCGGCGGGCCCGGGCTCGGCCATGGAGACGGGGCTGCTCCCCAACCACAAACTGAAAGCCGTTGGCGAGGCCCCCGCCGCACCGCCCCACCAGCAGCACCATCACCACCACCATGCCCACCACCACCACCACCACCACCATGCCCACCACCTCCACCATCACCACCACGCACTACAGCAGCAGCTAAACCAGTTCCAGCAGCAGCAGCAGCAGCAGCAGCAACAACAACAACAACATCCCATTTCCACCAACAGCCTGGGTGGCGCGGGCGGCGGCGCGCCCCAGCCCGGCCCCGACATGGAGCAGCCGCAACATGGAGGCGCCAAGGACAGTGCCGCCGGCAGCCAGGCCGACCCCCCGGGCCAGTCTCTGCTGAGCAAGCCGGGCGACGAGGACGACGCGCCGCCCAAGATGGGGGAGCCGGCAGGCGGCCGCTACGAGCACCCGGGCCTGGGCGCGCAGCAGCAGCAGCAGCAGCAGCAGCCGCAGGTCACCGTGCCCGGGGGCGGCGGCGGCGGCGGCGGCGGCGGCGGCCCGGCGGCCGTCTCGGAGTTTAATAATTACTATGGCAGCGCTGCCCCAGCTAGCGGCGGCCCCGGCGGCCGCGCTGGGCCTTGCTTTGATCAACATGGCGGACAACAAAGCCCCGGGATGGGGATGATGCACTCCGCCTCAGCCGCCGCCGGGGCAGCCAGCAGCATGGACCCCCTGCAGAACTCCCACGAAGGGTACCCCAACAGCCAGTACCACCATTATCCGGGCTACAGCCGGCCCGGCGCGGGCGGCGGCGGCGGCGGCGGCGGCGGCGGAGGAGGAGGAGGCAGCGGAGGAGGAGGAGGAGGAGGAGGAGCAGGAGCGGGAGCTGTGGCGGCGGCGGCCGCGGCGGCGGCGGCAGCAGCAGCAGGAGGCGGCGGCGGCTATGGGGGCTCGTCCTCGGGGTACGGGGTGCTGAGCTCCCCCCGGCAGCAGGGCGGCGGCATGATGATGGGCCCCGGGGGCGGCGGGGCCGCGAGCCTCAGCAAGGCGGCCGCCGGTGCGGCGGCGGCGGCGGCGGCGGCGGCGGGAGGCTTCCAGCGCTTCGCCGGGCAGAACCAGCACCCGTCGGGGGCCACCCCGACCCTCAACCAGCTGCTCACCTCGCCCAGCCCCATGATGCGGAGCTACGGCGGCAGCTACCCCGACTACAGCAGCCCCAGCGCGCCGCCGCCGCCGCCGCCGTCGCAGCCCCAGTCCCAGGCGGCGGCAGCGGGGGCGGCGGCGGGCGGCCAGCAGGCGGCCGCGGGCATGGGCTTGGGCAAGGACCTGGGTGCCCAGTACGCCGCTGCCAGCCCGTCATGGGCGGCCGCGCAACAAAGGAGTCACCCGGCCATGAGCCCTGGCACCCCCGGACCGACCATGGGCAGATCCCAGGTAAGCCCCGCGCCGGCCGGGCCTGCTTCCGCCCGGGCCTTGCGCGCCGCGAGCCCGAGTTTCTTTCTTCGCCCGGTACTTTTCCCGTCCGCCCGCGGGGCGGGGGCGACGGCGGGGTGCGGCGCCCGGGGCCATTTCCTCGGCGGCCGCTCGCTCCAGCCTGCTGGGGCGCTTCCCGTGCGGACCGGGCCAGGCCGGGCGCCTGGGCCCCGCGAACCCACGCCCTCGCCGCCGCGAGCCCCAGGCCCGGGACGGGGTCGGGCAGTCAGGCCCCACCCGCGAGGGAGCCCCGAGGGCGGCGGGCGGCCTGACGGACTCGGACTCGAGGCTGTCGGGGGAGGCGGGCTCCCGGGCGGCCCGGTCCGCCGTGGCCGCGCCGCGCTCCGGGGCGCCGAGGGAGAACTTTCTCCGGCCCCGGCCTACGCTCGCTCCTCCGAGGGAAGACCGGGGACAGGGCCGCTGTGTGACACCCCGCGAGGCAGCCGGTGTCCGCGCGGGCTCCGAGTTTGAGGCTCGCCCGCAGGAGTCGGACCCCAGTTTGCACCGACGTGAGGAACACGTTTTAAGACCGAGGTTCTGCCCGAGAGTAGCCGGGGAACCCATTATTGGGCTCACGGCCGCTGGAAAGGAGTCACCTTCAGCCTAGAGGCCATAGCGAAGGAACACATCTCGATCGCTTGCACTTATTTTGGTCATGGATGAGGCATACATTTTATTCAGCAAATCTGGTGGGGCAGTAGGCCAGTGACAATGGATCCTTTTGGATCGCCTTTATTTGGATTCTCTGTGTTTTGCTGTCACCCGAGTCCTCGTGCGCGGTTAGGAAGTGTCCCGCACTCCGGCTGTGTCTTGCTGGTAGGCTGAGCCTAAAGACTGACTTGATCTCCTTTGCAAGGTTTGGAATTTGAATTGTGGAGGTAAACTGGCTGTAATAGTCTCCAGACAGCTGCCTCCGAGTTGACATCTAATCTGCCATCTGATTGGCTCCCCTCTCACCATTGGGCATTTAGCTCTGCTGATGTAAATAGAAGTGCTCAGCAGTACAGTCACAAAAATTCCTGCCACAAATAATAACTGAACTCTATTACAAACAGATGGAAGGCTGAATACGATTTAGAGCTTAAGTTGTTAGGAACCGTAGTTATTAATAAGAGGATTAAATGCAGAAGAACATGCTGGAGTCCAGTATTGGGCATTCACAAAACTAGGTCTTGGAAGGCGATCTGTCGATGTGGACATTACACCTATCATGCACTTTAATTGTAGGCTCTCCTGAAGATGTGAACATTGAAGATAATTAAACCCCCGATTGTGCCAATGTTTGGATTTGTAAAGCTTTTATAAAAACCTGTCTTTTACAGATTCAACTGTGAAAAACATTGAAATGTATTAGCACACATAACTTAATATACCATTTAAAAATTTCATGATTCTGATATACAACAGTATCTTTTGATATTCGATTAGCGTTAGAGCCAGAATAAAGCTATATATTTCTACTGATTTGTGGTTTAACAACTGTGGCCATTTTAAGATGTTTGTGGATGAAGAAATTTTAGCTGGAACTGGCATATTTAAAAACGACAAATGAGAAAAGTATATAATCTTTGTAGAAAACAATTAGCTAAGAGGGAGCAATACATATCCCTGTGAAATACCGAAAGTTATATATTTGCTTCTGATTTGGAGAATACAGAAATGATTTTTTTAGATTAGGTAATGTGAGTCTTATTTGAACTGCTTACACAGGGAATTAGGGAGGCCTATTACAGGCAAGCTGTACTGGGTGTGCTTCGTCCAAAGCATTTTTCTTTCAAACGCATCTTGATGCTATGAAAGTTTTAAACATTCTAGTCAGTTAGAAGGGTTGTTTGTATGTTTTTATTTAGCTCATATATATTAGGTGTCTAAATAATAATTGACTATTCTGGGAGAGACTTGTCAGAGTGGAAGAAAGCCTGAATTTAATAAATAATCACAGGAATCCTAGGCTGGACATTGGTACGTTCACATCTTCAGTTAATAGAGTTTTACTTCTAATCGTCTAATGGTAATGTTCTCCTGTTCTTAGTAGAAACCTTATATTTTTGTTTTGACTGACATAAGAAAAAATATCGAAGAGAAACCTGGTGTAAATAAACCCATGTAATTTTAAAAAATTGCTTTGTCAGCTTGCTTTTAAAGGGGGCAATTTGGAATTTGTGAACTATAAAGGAACCAAGTTAGAAGCAGATATAGGTCCATGTTACTTTTTAGAGTATTATTTCTTAATGGTATCAGTCATTTTAAGTATTTTGTTTTCTGGGGATGAGAGGGAATCCATTATGGCCTCAGTGTGGGCCCTTGGGAATAGCTTTTTTTATCTTTGAGGGGGGAAAAAAAGGATAGACATATGACCTTGGTTCACAGATTTCTCTTACGTACCTTACTGATAACACGTGTCTTTTTCATACTTATTTTCCCTTTTATTTTGGAAGGCCAGTATTAATATTCGTTATGATAACTCTACTAAGAAGTCATTTGTCCAAAATATTAAATTACTACCTAGCTATATGTCATAAAATACTAAGTCATGTTAAATGATGAAAAAAATTTTTTTGACTTTTAGTACATTTAGTTTCATTTTTGATTTTAGGAAATGGTTTGTATTGGGTGACAGATGTTTTGTAAGTAGGAACAAAGCATACACATGTTGTAGGGGTAGGGCCTTTTTAGAGATTGAAATAAGTCATTTTATGATTCATTTTGTTACTGGATGTTTTGAAATAGGTATTCAGATAGAGCAGTCCCAAAAAGAATACTGAGGTCTGTTCATAATACATTAGAGTTTGTGATGTCCACGTTTGTACTGAATTCCATTCACACTATTTTATCTTCAGTACTATATAATATAATAAAAAAGTTATTAACCATTAATAGTAACTAACTGGCTTACAAAGCAGGAAGCTACAGAGTCCTTCTTGATTACCTTAAAATGTATATGATATATCATAAGGTCACTCCCTTCGTCTCCCATGAAACCTTAGGTTATTTGTTACTTCAAATCATGTAAAGACATCTTTGTGATATGAATGTATGTATTTGCTAGGGCATAGTTAGGTGAGTTTGGTAATACTGGTCCACAGAAAAAGCCTGTCATTTAAGAAACAGAAAAAGAAAATTCAGCAAAAATGTCTGCAGTTTTCTGTTTGTGAGATGAAATTATTTATGGCTTGAGTTCTTTTTTTATTGGTTATCCTGATTTTTGTGCTACTTAATTTTGATATGTGTACTTTTTGTCTTTATAGTGGTAATTGCTTTTCAGCAAGCTATCACTTAAATTCATGGTTTTATATTAATACTAAGTTAATAAGTATATTCTAGGGAACATGTTCTTACCTTTGGTCTATAGTGAAAAACCTTAACCCTTCTTTTTTCCCTTTGGTTTTGTTTATCTATGTTGAAGAATGAATTTTTGGCCAGGCTTTTAACACTTGCTCCACTTTTTCAATGTTATTTTGTATCAGAAGTGTCTTAGGGATATGGAAGTAATCCAGGTCATACTTGGATACTTTTACTAACGTATTTAACCTCTGAATATCCTGTTCTTTTACTAGAATTGACTAGAATAACTTCTTCATGCTGGTATAAAAATAGCATTAATTCTGGTTTGAGAACCAGTTTTAAAAATATAAGACACTGTGCAGGAAGAATTAATAAAAACTCATTTGATAGTTTTATTAGAAACAGACATCTTTTAAGGAAAACAGGTGTAATAAGAGGTTGAATTTTTAGTTCTGTTTCTTACTAATGGATTTTATTCCTTTATAATTTGGGCCCGGGTGCATCAAAAATGATGACTTCTGATGCAATAGGAACACTTTCTTCTCTAGGATATACACCAACCTCACTGGCAAAGACAGTCGTTTCATTTATTTTCATTTATTTAACCCTGCCCTCTCCTAGGAGGTGGTGGGGGGGGTTGATTTAAAATTTGGTAGGAGTCCATGTGATTTTCCTCCTGATTTGCAGACAAGTAGAGATGCACATTTGGATGTATTGGCAGAGCAAGCTGTCTCAGCTCGTTGCCGGTCCTGGATCTAGAGTGGTCCTCACTGTGTTGCACTAGCTGACACTGCCCAGACCCTGAGACCGTGTGCTGTCTCAGGCTGTGAGCTGCGTGTTGTGGAAAAGGGACTAATATTGACTCATGTCATTTGCATTTTGGGCTGTATGTAAACTTGTAAATTTCAGGCTGATACTATGTCTAATAAAACTGTTATTAAAACAGAATTACGGAGGTTGAAAATGAATATCAATAAAAGTGTCATTAATTTTTTTGAAATATTTAGATTTTTCAAAATGGATGTTATAAAATCCTTACGGCATTTTTGCAATGCTGTGTTTACTTGGGGGGCCATCTCTACCTCTTAGGCCCTTTTGGAATTGGGTAGTTTTCAGTTTTGCATCTTTTCAGAGCTGTCTTCCTTGGAACGGGAGGTTTTTGTTTCTCTGTAGAAATGGAAAGGCCGGCTGCACATTTGCTGTGTGTGCATGCTTGAGGCTGAGGAATCCCAAGTCCTAGTTCCCTGTGTTGTGGGGGAGGAGCACCAGGCCGAACTGCACATTGCCAAGGATATGTTTATATATCATACATGGAGAGTGTTACACAGTATTGCTCTTTCCAGTCTGGAGGCTATTTCCATAAGACTAAGTGGCCCTTTTGGTTTAATTGGGTGATTGGATGAGTTAATTCTGATTTAAAAACTTGGTATACTTTCGTGAATTTTTCTCTTGGAAATTTGACGAAAAGAAAATGATTTAGCTATCATTTACTTATTATCTGAATGTCTTTTTTTTTTTTGGGTAGCACTGGGGTTTGAACTGGACCTCACGCTTGCTAGGCAGGTGCTCTACCACTTAAACCACTCTGCCACCCCCTGAATGTCTTTTAAGTGTACACTCATTTGCCATATACTAACATCTGAATAAACTATACTATTGATGTTATACCTTTAATT